TTGCACTCATCAGCTGTAGGAAGAGTTAAAAGAAGAAAATGTGGATATGAAAAGGGAGCCATTCATGCGAACCTCTTTAATTATTTGAGAATCTTGAGATCCTACTGCTAAAGATTCAGGAATTATAACTGTTTGAAAAGTTTTAATCTTATAGAAAAATTGCAGGTAGAATTTGAAGAGATTTTTTTTCTTTTTTGAGCCATTTGAAAGTAGGCTGCCAACATAACGTCTTATCACCCAGAAAATTTTAATTTGTATTTACCAGAAAAAAGGATAATCTGTATAATCACAATACAACAATCAAAACCAGGATATTAACCCTGATACATTGCTATGACCAAATCCTCAGAACCCATTTGAGTTCCAATAATTGTCCTGATGACATCTTTAATAACAATAAGAATTCAGTTCAGAATCATACACTGTCTTCTTCAGTCCAGAACAGTTCTTTAGTCTTTCCTTGATAATTTTGACTATTACAGAAAATTATGCTTGGAATTTCTCTCACTTTGGGCTTGCTTGGTATTTATTCATGAACAGATTTGGGTGGTGCATCTTTGTAAGACTATCACATAGCACATGAGTGATGCTACACTCGTCCCATTGCATCCTATTAAGTGTGCAAGATTTTGATTTTTTGAATTACTGATGATAATTTCAATTATTCTGCAAGGTTTTTCCACTGTAAAGTTACTTTTTCCCCTTTTGTAATTCATAGGCATTTTATAAAAGATGCCTATTACTTTGAAATGATTTCTTAACTATTAACATATATCTTTGAGATGACTTGAGATGATTCCTTATTTAACTATCAGCATATTTATTCAACAAAATAATGATTTCCTATATTATTCAATGGGATTATATGATCTGTTGCATAACAGATTATGATGTTACTATTATTATTTATTGTAATGCTCAATTTTCCCAAATAGAGCCAGTGGGTATCCTTCAAGCTGGATTCTGTGTCTTTTTGACATGCCTTTGTTATTCCTTGAGCACTTCCCTGCTTTCTGGCAAACTAAAGTGATCTAAAATTATTTTATTTTATACTTTTTTTTTGTCTCAGCCCAGCCCTGAAATCAGCCACTTCTCTAAAAAGCCTAGGTTTCTTTTTGTAAATAATGGGATTTAAAGGCCAAGACTGAGTGATGTCACCAATGTGGCAACATAGGTTGCTCTTGACTTTGCTCCCCCTCATAAGAAGGACAACTAAGACACCACTAAGAATCCTAGAACACCAAGGTTAGTGCTAAAGTACCACCACCAATATACATGCACCCCACCCCTGCACCACAGAGACTAAGATCACATTAGAAGGGTAAGAGCAGCAGCTACTTAGGGACTGAATTGCTCCTTCTCCAGACCAGTGTAGCACTATGCTGAAGGTGTTTCCTGAGTTTCTTGTTCCTCTGGTAGGAAAAGAGAATCTAGGGAGATGAGCCCCCACCCTCACCCCCAAGCATTGTGAGTTGTTTTGCAAGAGCCCCTACTCTAACTTCACGCTACAGGGATTACAGGGGAATCTGTGGGGCCAAGAGAGAATAGGATGACATATTCAAATATTGAAAGAGAATAATTGTCAACCAAGAATTCTAAACTTAATGAAGCTGTCCTTCAGAAACAGAAGAGAGATAAAGACTTTCCCAACCAGAAAAAGCTAAGGGAGTTTCTTACCACTGGACCTGCCTTAGAAGACATGCTGAAGAGAGCTCTTTGAGTGTAAGGAAAAGAATGCAATTTAACATCACAAAAATATAAAAAGGTAGTGTAAATCTCACTGGTAATGGGAAATATATAGCCATAGTTAGATTCTGCAATATGGTAATAGTGGTGCAAAATTGACCTTAGACTCTAGTTTAGAAGTTAAAAAAAAGAAAAAGAACCATAGTACTAAAAATAACCGTAACAATAACAATCTCTTATACAATGTAAGAAAAACATGTAAGTTATAAAAGAAATAACCTAAAAGGGGGGGGGGAGGATAAGTAAATGTGCAAAATTTATGAATTCTATTGAAGTTAAGTTTTATTAGTTTAAAATAGGGCATTATCAGTTTACAATATTTTATGTAAACCTCATGATAACCACAAAGGAAAATCTTAATCACCCCGACACACAAAAACCACAATTAATAAGTCAAAGCACACTAATACCAAAAGACATCAAAATACAAAAAAAAAAGATGGCAGGACATGAAACAAGGAATAATGGATCTACAGACCAGCCAGAAAACTACAAAATGGCAACAGTAAGTCCTTAACTATTAACTACTTAAAGTAACTAAAATAGTTACTTTAAACATAAACTGATTAATTTCTTCAATTAAAAGACATAGAGTGGCCGAATAGATTTTAAAAAAGCAGTGTCAAACCATATGCTGACTACAAGAGACTCACATTAGCCTTAAAGACACACACAGAATATTGAGATGGATATTAGCTTGAAGCATGTGTAATTGTGATTTTTGTTGGCCAGAGTCAAATATCAGGATTTTCATATGGTATAAGCTAATAAATGAGTGAATACACACGTTTAATGTTGTAACTATATGGCAAATACTCAGTAAATGTTAACTGTGATGATAGTAATGATGATGAGAATGATGGTATCTCTTTGTATGCCTGACCTACATATCTAGGAACAGAACTCCTGGGTTACAGGATCTGTAGAAATCCAACTTTTATTTCCAACATATTCACTAGAATTTTCCTAACCAAGACATGCTTTAGCTTATCATAAATTTCAGTCTTCCTAATATATTTCAATAAAGTTTTATAATAAGTTTGTGATAAAAAAAAAGACACACATAGACTAAGAGTGAAAGAAGGGGTGGAAAAAAACATTTCAAGCAAATGGTAACAACAACAACAACAACAATTCAGGGGTAGCTACACTTATGTCAGACAAAATAGACTTTAAACTAAAAATAGTAAAAAGAGACAAAGAAGGTAATTATATAATTATCAAGGAGTCAATATATAAAAAAGATATAACAATTATAGACATTTATGCATCTAACACTGGAGCACTTAAATATATGAAGCAAAAACTAATAGAAGTAAAAGTTCTACTCTCAATAATGGATAGATCACCCAGACAGAGAATCAATAAAGAAATGCAGATTTGAATAAACTATTGACCAATTGGACCTAACAGACATATACAGGATATTCTATTCAACAATAGCAGAATTTACATTCTTCTCAAGCGCACATGGAACATTTTGTAGGGTAGACTATATGTTAGGCAATGAAACAAGTCTTTGTAAATTCAAGAAGATTGAAATCATATCAGGTATCTTCTCTGACTACAATGGCATGAAACTAGAAATTAACAAGAAGAAAACTGGAAATTCATGAACACATGGAAATTAAACAACACTTAGTGAAAATGGATCAAAGATGTAATTAAAAGGGGAAATGATAGAAAAAGATTGAAACAGATAAAAATGGAAACAACATACTGGAATTTGTGGGATACAGCAAAGGCAGTTCTAAAAGAGAAGTTTATAGCAATAAAGAAGTATAGTAAATAACAAAAATCTTAAATATCCTAATTCTACTCCTTAAGGAACTAGGAAAAGAACAGCAAAGTTAGAAGAAAGGAAATAATAAAGACTAGAGCAGACCTAAATGAAATACAGAGCAGAAAACAATTGAAAAGATTAACCAAATTAGGAGTTAGTTCTTTGAAAAGATAAACCAAATTGACAAACTCTTAACTAGACTAACCAGGGAAAAAAGGGAAAAGGCCCAAATCAACCAAATTATAACTGAAAAAGGAGACATTACAAATGATAACATGGAAATTCAAATGATCATAAGAGGCTACTATAAACAACTATATGCCAACAAACTGGACATCTGAGAAAAAGAGGAAAAACTTAAAAACATACAACTTACCAAGTCTGAATCAGGAAGAGATAAAAAATTTAAACAGATCAATTAGTAGTAAGGGGATTGAATCAGTGATCTAAAATCTCCCAAGGAAGAAAAGCCCAAAACCAGATGACATCACTGGTTCACTGGTGAATGTTACCAAACATCAAAGAAGGATTAATACCAATTCTCAAACTCTTCCAAAAAAATCAAAGAGTCAGAAACACTCCCAAACTCATTTTCTGAGGCCAGACTATCTTGACACAGAACCAGAAAAGAACACCTAATAGAAAAGAAAACTACAAAAAAAAAAAAAAAAAAAAAGAAGAAGAAAATAAAACTACAGGCTAATAACCTGATGAATGTAAATGCAAAAGTTCTCAATAAAATACTAGCAAAACTGAACTTAGCATCACATACAAAAGATCATTCACCATGATTAATTGGGATTTATCCCTGGGATGCAAGGATGGTTGAATATATGCAAGTCAATCAATGTGATATATCACATTAATAGAATGAAAGAAAAAAATCATATGATCATCTTGACAACTGGAAAAAGCACTTGATAAACTGAACATTCATTCATGATAAAAACTCTTAACAAATTAGGCATAGAAGGAATATATCAACATAATAAAGGCCAGATATGACAAACTCAACAGCCAACATACTGAATGGTAAAAAGGTTGAATGCTTTTCCTCTACCATCAGGAACAAGACAAGTGTGTCTACTCTCACCACTTCTATTCAACATATTACTAGAAGTTTTAGCTAGAGCAATCAGGCAAGAAAAAGAAATAGAAGTTATCAGAATTAGAAAGGAAAAAGTAAAATTGTCTCTCTTTGCAGATGACATGATTTTATGTATAGAAAATCCTAAAGATTCAACCAAAAAAAGAAAAGCTGTAATCAATGAATTCTATTGCAGTATATAAAGTTTCAGAATACAAAATTAACATACAAAAATCAGTTGCGTTTCTACACAGTAAACAAACTTTCTGAAATTCAGAAATACATTTACAATAGTATCAGAAATAATAAAATACTTAGAAATAAATTAAGGAGGCAAAAAATCTCTACTCTGAAAACTGTAAGACACTGATGAAAAAAACTGAAGATATAAATAAGTAGAAAGGTATCTCGTGTTCATATTGTTAAAATGTTGATACTACCAAAATCTACATCTATAGATTCAATGCAATCCATATTAAGAATTCAGTGGCATTTTTACAGAAGTAGAAAACACACTCCTAAAATTTATATGGAGCCACAAAAGACCCCAATAGCCAAAGAAATCCAGAGATCAAGGCAGGAGGCATCACACTTCCTGATTTCAAGCTATCCCATTGAGCTATAGTCATCAATACAGTAGGATACTAGCATAAAAACTGACAAATAGACCAATGGGACAGAATTAAGAGCCTAAGCATATACTATCAACTAATATTTGACAAGGCTGAGAACACTCAATGGAGAAAAGACAGTCTCTTCAATAAATGGTGCTAAGTTAATTGGATATTCATTCTTCCTTCTTTGAATTACTTTTCTTTAACCTCTCCATTCTGTTGTCTTTTTTTCTCTCTCTTTTTATTCACATTTATATCTGTGAGGAAAAGCAAAAACAATAATAAAGAAGGGGACAATTGAAAGTTCATTCTTTCTTTGGTTGATTTATGCATAGAACAAATTAGTGTCCACTACAGATCATCAGGCATGCTGTATGATCTGGGGATGTAGTGGCAGAAAAGTGAGAAAAGATCTGCCCTCAAGGACCTTACATTCCAGTGGAGGTGACCAACAATAAATAGGATGAATAAGTTTCCTTACTATGTTATTTTCTCCTTACTTTTACACCAACCCTGAACCTTAGCAGTTCGATGGTACCTGAAACCAGAGTTATACAATACAGACTGTCCCTAAAACACGTCTTGCAGATACAGCCCTTGCCATCTTCTGGATTTTTTTGCTGAGGTCACTTGTTCTCTGGTGGACAAACAGTCTAAGATAATCTCAAAGTAAAATATTAAACTAGAAGAGGTTACATTTTCTTTCTACTTGCTGAGTAAATATATACCATTTGTTCAGCAAATTATACATACTTTCTCCTTTATGAAAAATGATGATTTTAAATGATAAGTTTCATATTACCATTTAGGATTAACAAATTTTCTGTTTGAAAGCTATGAATCTGAGAATCCTTCATAGCTACAGGGCAATACTCCATTAAAAATAAACAAAAACTCAGTTATCTCATGCTAATTGCATATTGATGTATTTATTTCATATATGCATACATGTGTATATAAATAAAAAATAGTGTTGTCTTATGGTATGAATAAATCCAGTCAGTGAATAACATTTACACACAATGCAAAGTCTTACTTATTGAGACTGAACTGTTAAATATTCTAAAAAGAAAACAATTTCTTAAAAAAGAGGACATATAAGATAGTTGGTGAGGAATGTCTAAAAGCATAGTCTATGTCCTTACATTTGCATCAGGAAATACATACTGACAGAAAATGTAGCTGAGTATATTTTTACATAATCACATCATCTGTCAATCTAACAAATTTATAATGGTATTATTTCTGTGCAGCTAAATAACTGCAACTTTGAGTATTAGCCAGTCTCTTGTGATCAGTACTAATATCTGTACTATGCTTTTAAATCCAGTTGTAATGGAATTTCAAACTGCTTCAGCATCAGAAATTGCTGCCCTTTCCACTACACAAACTATGCTGCGGGTTTGCTTAGAAACTCTTTGTTGAAGAATCGTCTTGCTTCAACATTACTAAGAGAAACAGAGCAGCGAGATGGATTTTGTCTTCTGTATTCAATGCTTTCAACTATGGCATTCTTTATCACCTGCAAATAGAGGGGGAAAGATGTGTAATTAGTATTGCTCTAAACTCATGTAAACATTTGGTCAAAAAAAATCTAATTGATCTTTTTATTATAGTTTTCTTTTGAAATAGAGAAATCTCTGAGTCATGCATGTGTATATTTAAATCTAACATCCCACCGTTATATTCTTGTTAAGCTCATACCCAGATAATCTTCCTTCCCCAACTAGAGAAAGAACTACTCCAGGAGTGTTCCAGATTTTGTGCTGGTAAAATTGGGAATAAAGTATTTGTAACCTGGTAAATTGATCTTTATTCTATTTTCAATGGGGGAATTGATAAGAGGGTAGAAACAAGTAAGTACTAAATGTACAATTTATGTTCTTTACTGTTAGCGGACAAGCATAAATGAGAGACCACAAGGAAGGAGAAGACTTTCTTTAAGCCTAATGAGAAAAGAAGGCATTGCTGAAGAATTGCCCTGCTTTCTCAGCTAAATAAATACAGTTATAAAACGTGGCTGTCCTCTCTCAAGGAAATATCATACTCTGTGATTTTATTGATGATGACTATTTTTTATTTGGGATAATTTTCATATATACTCAAATCAATGGTGACTACAACCTCTAAGAATTGCTATTCCAATTATATTCTCTTCTGGTCTGAAGTTAACCTAGTTAAGAACTTCTGGAAAGAAGATAAGATTTGGAATTTAGTTGAAACAGTTGTTGCAGAGCAATGGGAATGGGCTTTGGAAGAGAGGCCTGTATATTAATCTTGGTTCTGCTGCTTATTTGGAACCTTGCCAAAATCAGGAAGACTCCATTCCCTATGACAGGACTATAGGATTTCATCTTAACCAATGAGATAGAAGTTTGAAGGCAAAGAAAAGTATCACAGGGATTATTTTACAATTCCCTTTATTCTCTACCTCAAAGATTGTTAAACAACATTTAGGTATTATCTGTATGTGTTTCAACTCCTGCCATCCTTGGCAAGCCCGAGCAGCTTAGGATCTAGGGCCCCCTCCCACCCAGAACTAGAGTGGCCCACTTGGCACAGGGGTTTTTCCCATGTCCACATCCAGCGTCACTGAACAAGCCAAGTTCAATGCCTAGAGGAGAGAGATACATGACCTGGGTGGTGCTAATACATGACAAATATTCTGTGACTTTATGCTGGTCTCGATGGGTAGGCCCGTCTAATTCTCTAATGGTAACTTTAAACAGTTGTACAAATACAAGAGGTTGTATTCTGGAAACAGGGCTTTATCATAGAAATGTGACACCTTTATTTGCTTTATGATTTTTAAATTATAGATAGAGAATATATATAATAAAGCATAATATATATGTAGTTATCTTATGGACTCAAATGTTATTGTGTCTTTTAAGTAAAGCAAGTATATGCTGAGCCCATTTTTCTCATGAGTAAGGGAAACATCATTAATTCTACGGTGACAGAAGAAGCTTCAGGCCTATGAAGGAGACCTTGACTAAGGACCTTATCACTAATCACTTCTTGGCTATGTGAGATCAAAGGGAATTAACTGAAATCCTTGAACTCATTCCCTCTTCTTCACAGCAGGAATAATAATACTTATCTTAGTTTTTGTGGGGATTGGAGTTCATTTATATAAAGTACTTTGCACAATACCTGGCACCTAGGAAACATTCCATAACTGGCATCTATTTATTGTTATTTTTAAATTGATCATATGTGTGAAAATGTAGGCACTTTAATTTGGATATAAGGCTATAAAGTTTACTAGAAAGAAACACACAATGTGTATCCAATTATGGGTTTATTAAATGGTAAAAGTCAGCAAATCAATTCTGCTATCAACTGTGTCCTACTACATCTTCTTTTAATAATCTCTCTGCTTTCTGGATACTATGTCAGCAAGTTTTCAGCTGCTTTCTCCTTCACCATACCAGCCCAGGATGCAGGAACTCTCATTGCAGGGAAAAACCCAAGTAAAATAAAAATCAACCACTTATTTTCCAAATACCTATAAAGCTTTAAAATATCAAAAAACATAGGGAAATTATATTAATAACTGTTGTCAATTCCTTTATAACTAATTCATAAGTACAAAAAAATCAGCAATATCATTACCATGAGCTAGTGGATTTACCATAAGTGGACCTTGGCAGGTATTTCTAATAGGCCATTCATATAAAGGAAAACTAATATTTACATGTATTAATTAAAAAACTCTAATCATACGCAACTAGAGTGTGCAAGATGAACCACTAGGTGGCATATTAACATTGTGAAATCATTGCCCAGATTTTTTCAGATTGTTGCAGAACATAGCCATTTGGTGTGATTAATAATTCAATAATATAAACAGAAGAGACTAAACTCAATCTTACATCAGTGCTAAATCCAAACCTTCTGGCATGATACACGGTACAATTACATGTATCCAAAGAAGCAATATGCTATCTTTGAATCTTCCTATTTTTTAAATGATATTAGGAGTAATCTTCAGTAGTATTCATATCACTTCATATCGTTCATATCCTTTCATATCATGTTCATATCATTTCCTCTTTCATTCCCCGCTGAAATTGAGATTTCAAATCCTTCCCTTCCGTGGGAAGCCCTCCTACGACAGCCCTCATCTCTCAAGCCTCTCCATCCCCTAAGGATGGAAGCCTCTGCCCTTCCCTAAGTAGTGTGACTGACCTAAGTCATCCTTCACTTGTGCTCTTCAAAAGCCTCCTAATTGTTGATCCAGACTCTTTAAATCTATGGCCAGAAAGGCAGAGAATAAGAAAAGGAAACATACAAAATGGGATCTTCTTTCAAAAAGGAACAAATTTAGAGACAGAAGACCGGAAGCAGTCCACAAGCAAACACTGAATTCCCACAGTGGGAAATTAGAAATGATCCCAAAAAAGAAATTATCATATATTTTGAAAGAGAAGTAAAAATTACAAATCTAGAAGAATACAAGAAGACATTCTGGTCTAAATTACTATGAATCTGCCAGCAAATGTCTGCCTTTCCAATAAGAACTAAAGTGTCATGAAAGCAGGGGCCTTATGAATCTTGTCATTTTTAATCACAGCACTTACAACACAGAAGAGGAACCATAAATATTTGTACAACTAATGAATGCACAGAAGGCTGAGTTAAACAAAGTTCAACCAGGGAGACAATGAGATGCATGGAAGGACAGGTGGATTCTGTTAAGTGCAGTGGACGGATGGGGTGTTCTCAGTAGAAAGACCATCTTGTAGAAAGGCTGAAGGTGGGAGGTCATGGCACGTGTAGGAAGCATCTGGAAACTCGCCTGTGTTTGGGAAATAGGAAGAAAGAAGGCTGCTTGAGAAGCAGATGGTTCAAAAATAGGAGAGAGTGAGAAGAAAAAAAAAACAACCCTGCAGCCCCATCTTGGCTCCCCATGTGACTGTGTGATTTCCAGCAATCTGCCTCCATTACCCTTGTCTCAGTTTCTTCACATATAAATAAAGATTCCCACCTCATAGGCAAGTTTGAGTGTTAAAAATGCGAGAGAAAAATAGCTTATATGAAACACTCAAAACTTTTTTCGTTCTTTTTCTTCTGTGCACTGTTATACCTTTAGTTACTAAAACAGTGCTTGCCACAGTAGAGACTCAATAAACATGTGTGGAATTAATGAATAAATAAGATGGAAAGAGATTATAGGAAGCATTAAAGGTAGATGGATTTGGGCCTCACATATTAGGCCATGATTATAATAAGTTTCTAAATTACTTTTAAAAGATAAAAACTTTAACTTGTACCTAAATGCTATTATGATGATGAAATATCAATAAACTAAGAATTAGTACCAGTACTTCTGGATATATACTCTTCCTCATTAAATTAATTAATTAATTAATTCTTTGAGAGCGAAAGAGCACATGCAGGGATGGGGGAAGGGCAGAGGGAGAGAAAGAATCTTTTGTTTTTAAAAATTTTTTATTGGAGTTCGGTTTGCCAACATATAGTATAACACCGTGCTCATCCCGTCAAGTGCCCCACTCAATGCCTGTCACCCAGTCACCCCAGCCCCCATCTCCCCTTCCACTACTCCTTGTTCATTTCCCAGAGTTAGGAGTCAAGAAAGAGAGAATCTTAAGCAGGCTCCACGCCCAGTGCAGAGTCTGCTGCGGGCTCAATCTCAGGACCCTGAAATCCCGACCAGATTCGAAATCAAGAGTCAGATGCTTAACCTGAGACATCCAGGTATCCTGCTTCCTCATTGTAATTAGTATCTGGTATTTAACACTTTATAGAACTGTTTGATAAAGAATTTTAAAAGTTCATTATTTACTATGCACCACTGGTATATATTGAGTAAGTTGACACATAACCTGTTCTTAGAATATACCTACTGATTTAATAAATTGAATGACTGAGACTGCCTAACAGTACGTTTTCCTGCGAGGGCTGAATCAACAAGTCCTGGGCTATATTCTCTCTAGAGCAAACTGGTGCTTTATGAGTAGAGCATGTAGCCACACTCCATACCCAGGCATACGTGGCGTAGAGATTCTGCATGGTCAGGAATTCTGCCTCCAACCAACAGACCTGCATCCTGACACTTGAAATACCTTCTTCCTATCACATGAAACTCTTCAACACTTCAGCCAGTAAGTCAATGACATTTTAAAAATCATTCATGACAATCTCATTGTATATTTATTTTAGGTGCCAGGCATTGTGATCAGTGTCTGTGGAGAATACGAAAGATAGATAAGGCAAGTTAGTGTTTTTAAAGGGTTTAAAATATATAAGCAAAAACAGAAGACAATATGAACACTGATAATATTATCATTATTATATTAGCTGCTTCAATTTATTGAGAGTCTCTTACATGCCAAGCCTTTAAATTATATTATTTTACTTAATCCTCACCCTGTCCTATAAGATATGCATCATTGTTTCCCCTTACAAATGAGGAAGGCAAAATTTGGAAAAGCTAACCAATGTGTCCAAGGTCACTCAGCCAAGAGCAAGGATTTGAACGCACCTTGGTCTGATTCCAAAGTCTCTGCATTTCCTACATACCACATGTCTGTCGGTATAAGTCACTCTATGTTAAGTTTCTTAAAAAAAAAAAAAAATCCAAAACCAAAAAAAAAAAAAAACCCACTAGCAACTCTCCCCCTTAAATACTGCCATTGTTAAAGCACTGAGGCAATGCTCAGTGAGAAGGAATTTGGGAGGATTGAGTAAGTGCAGAAACCTGATGCTAATGAGAAACCCAGGCTGCTGTGATGACGAGAGCAGAAACAGCAAAAGTTCTCTAAAGATGATCTAGAATTAGGTTCAGCAAAGCAGGCCAGCTGAGATCTCTGGGGAAAAGAAACCAATAGAAGCATCCAGCTGTCGGAGACAGCGTGGGCTTTTTAGAATAAACAGTGAAGCCAGAATGTTAATTGAAGATGAAAATGTGCCTTAAGCCACAGTGGTCATGGCCACAAACTTGAAAACCATCTTCTTGGGAGTTGGCAGTCGAGGTCTGCATTAGAAGAGTTTATGTTCCCCGTGTTCACAATTTGCAAGCAACTCTGACAGCCTATGGCAAGTTATTGTGTGCTGTGTTGCTGAAGTATGAATTAGCAAGCTACTCTATCCAAATGGCATGGGAAGCGGTGAGTTAGCTAATGACTGAGCCTAAGGATCTCTCCAGCATCCTACCTCAGCAGTTTGGTTGGTCTTCATTTATCATCACTTATCAAGAAGCTTTGATTCTAATAAGATATGTTTTCTTGGTTAAAAGTGAAGAGTCAGGGAGGGTAATCAAAAAAGAGACAAAATGTCAGCGAACATTGGAATTCCTACCTGGGTATGAAAGGTACACACACACGCGCGAGCATGAACACTCACACACATGAATCCCTTGAGCACAAATCTCAATGGTCATATGATTCAAGAGGAAGCTTACATTCATTCGTGCCACCCCCCACTCAAAAATTTATTGCCAGGCTGCTATTACGTCTATAGACTTGCTTATATTATTAATTCTGGGCATTTGCAAAGGTCTTGGGGTGTATCCATCCTGGTATAGGATATAGACACACATAGGTAAGCTTCCCATTTATCAAGCAGCTTCTGACTGTTATGTGCTACCCAACGTTTCACTCTTGCTATTATGACAAGGTACTGTTATACCTGTTCTAGAGATGAGGAAACTGAGGCCCAAAAAGTTTAAATAACTTATTCAAAGTCATATAGGCGAGTCAGGTGGCTCACGGAGATCTAAATGAAATATAAAGCCCATGACCTTGCTTCTGCACACTATGCCAGAGAAGTTCTTGGAAGCAATGAAATCCTGCTTTATTAAGTGATGTTTGATGAGCGGCATGTCAGGAAAATAATTTTGGAATTCAGTCCAATTTGTTTAGGCTTTTGCTGTTTCATCTATGTGTCAAACAAACTACTTTGAAGCATATATAAAAATAGAGCCATATCATTCTTTATAGCAAACAGCTTAGCAGGTTTTACATAAACCAGAACTGGAAAACAATGAGAGAAATATAGTTGTTTAAGTTACAGATATCTATCCACTCACACATATCTATAATATATACACATATACTTATAAATATGTATGTATGTGTCGGTATCCTTTTAGTTTTCCAAGCCCGAGAGGGTATTTATATATTCCTACAGTCTATTTTCTTTTTCCCATTTGAGAACAACAGATCCAAGTTTAATACATTCTATCTCAAGGAATACAGTTTTGAGTTTGTTAGTTTCATGCTAGGAATAGGATTGTTCTGACACTATCCCTTAGTTTCTCTTCTCTTTTGACCGGATGAGGTTTTATAAAACACAACTCTATCCTGAGAGTGTCTGTTCACTCCCTATAAATCATAGATTAAAAATACTGATTTACTGATTTTCTCTTAATATTCTTTAAATTTTCAGCATAGCATTGGGATTTCAGATGACCAGTGATTGTAACATAACAAAGAAAATGAACATATTTAGGAAATGACACATGCCATAACTTTGCTAAGCATGTTTTTCATGAGTTATCACATATTCAGATAAAGGATAACAAGAAAGCATCTCAGAGTTTCAGGAACTGAAGCTTATTAGGGAAAATTTTCATATGTGTTTACAAAAATGAGAGATACTGATTAAAACATAATACAGTATAATTGTTATAACCGCACACAGTTGATCACTACTAGTCTCAGGCCAAACTAAACTAACAAGTGAGCTGTGTGTGTCAGAAATCTTGTAGCACAAAATCTAACTAAATCCTATGTACCCAGAACCCTCATCCACATACTGTGCTCTCTTTGGTACCATTTGCAAGGTATCCAAAAAGAATGGCAAATCAGATATGACACCTTCCCCTTTCCAATGAATTTCCTTTTCTTTTATTCTTCTTCTTCTTTTTAATGTGCAAAATCCAGCCAGGCTAATGAACTTGGGCTTCCACAACAGACAATAATTTGACAGACACTATGATTTGTAACTACAAGCCAACATGATTCCAGTTACACCACAACACTCTTAAACCATAAGTTAGAGATTACAGAATCTCACATCATCACAGAATCCTAGCTGCAGATATACTGGGGTTAGAGATGACCAAAGTGAAGAGAATGAGTCATTTTTGAAGTTCCTAACGCAAAGTGTACTTGATATCTCATGGGCTAAAAATGGGAAGGCTGCTACTTTTGGCAACATTCTCAAGATCTACAAAAATAAAGACATTTAAAAGCATGAGTCTATCTATGAAAAGTCGTGATATTTTAGCAGATTAGCTACACTTTTGGTTGCTTCCTACTCTTATATTTTCCTTTTCAACACTTTTCTCTCTACTTATAATTTATTTTATCAGATGACAATACTTTGGGAAAGCAGCTGAGTATTAACCAATCCTTGGATCAAATAATAGTATAAAATATGGGACCTGCCAATTTAGAGGGATTTTTTCTTATTTGTGAATTTTATAACTCACAAATAAGAACAATAAAATGATTTACAAAAAACAAAATGGTACAATTTGGGTGGTATCATTCATGAACCTTATTTTTATTTTTAATGAATTAAAAAGGTGTTTCTGTGTTCATGTGATAGGGAAGTGTGTGACACTGTCAGTGATCACAGGAGATACTTACATCAATGTTGTTCAGGGTATTGAAGTGCATGAGATCATGCAGCCTTTTGAACGCTTGATTTGGATATTGAAAGTTGAAGGTTGAAAATGGTGATTCAGGGTCATCAAAAATATCAAAATCAGCTATTTCTTTCTCTTCCTTAGTTTCTCTTGGAACACCTAAATATTGGAAGGGTCTCAAATGGTAATTTTGAAAACAGCAAAATATCTCTAAAACTGAAGAAAGAAAACATACAAATACCTGTAAACATAACATTGGGAGTCCCCAGTGGGGTCATGGGATCTGTAGTACACACCTTTATGCTCCCACCCAGATTTCTTGGGTTGGGATATCTAAGCGTTCTGCTTTAGGTAACTTCCAATTGCCTGCATCTGCATCTTTCTACACCATCCTGCAACAGAGGAAGGCTGCTTTGCTCTCTAGCAGCAGAATGTAAATTCTGATAAATAACACTCTGCCCCAGGCATCAGTCAACCAGAGACTCTAGGAAGTTAGGCTATAAAATACCCCAGTTCCCTTGCCTCTTGTTGTATGAATATGAAGGATGATTCTGGAGAATAGGTTCTATTCCATTTCCTAGACTTTCCCAACAGGGTCAAGTTCTCTTCGTGGTATTTGGCTTACTGACACATCTTTTGTTGTCTACCTTTATTACTTCCTACGTCCTTACTAAAGTTCCCTAGTCCACTCAAATAAACCATCTGCACTTGAATTCTTTTCTTAGAATCTGCTTCTGGGGAAATCCAAACCAAAACATTAACTAAGTGTGTCCATGCCACAGGAATCCCCTATGTAGTTTCTCCTTGAGAAATAACAGTCATAGAAAATTCTCTAGGTTTCAAGTACTCTACTCCCCGATAACTAAAAATATCAGCCAATTCTTCCTTCTCTTGTTTTGAAGTATGACTTGTAATAACTTCCCTCCCTACTGATCCTTTCTTTGTCTTCCTCCACCATCTCTTCTCTGTCATCCTGTGTCAAATCTTCCATGATTAGCTTTTATATCTTTCCTATACCAACTGCACTTTCTGGTCCAAGGATAATATATTCTTAGGCCTTGAGCATCCTGCATGTCAATCTCTAGCTCTCCTTTTGTTAATCAATATTTTCCAGGATACAGAAGAGTCTATAGATTCTGGATGTAGTAAAACAGGACAACTGTGCCTTGAACTTGATTCTCTTTTTCTATGGCATATAATAAAAGCAACCTGAAATTACTATCTATGCTGTACTGCTAGATTATACTAGTCCTGTGGTCACTTAGAGTTCCCAGAGTTTTTGCATGATTTGTTTTGAAACAAGAGCTCCCTTGCAAGAATGATTTTCAGAATATTTAATAATCCCTATAACAAAGGTGTCAATCAATCAGAACCAACATAAGCCCAGGTTTTGGGTAAAGCCCCAGAGATTTTTATCAAGCGAGTTGTTAACACATCAGTTTCTGAATTATGAGGAACTCAGGGAATCTTGGAGTGAGAAAGAGGGGAAGTACTTGGAGTCTCAGGATAATAGTTCTCTATCAAGGTAAGGGAAGCATTCAAAATTGTAATAGCTAGTACTGCAAGTGCCACTATAAACCTGCTTAATACCAGTCTTGTTCTGTTACCAGATTTCTACTTTAAAGAATATAATTTATTCTCAACATACCAGGAGCCTTGTACTTTCTGAAGTTGATGTTGGCCAGAACAAAGTGGATGATAGTTGGGCAATCTTTCTCCATATCAGGATTCTTGGGTTTAAAGACATAGCACTCCTTCAGTCCTTCTCGATCAAACACATGAGGATCAATCTTCGGAAAGGGGAGCTTGTTCATTTTGGCCCACTTTTCTGCAAGGAGGAGTTCCTATGGAGGAAAAGTAAAGATACATTTAGAGATTTTCAGTTTTCACTTATTCAGAATGTTGGTCTGGACATCATTCAATATCCATCAGGTTTAACTGTGTGCTTGCAATGTGCTCCTTGCTAACATGAATAATGACCCTGTTCTCAAGAAGCTCATTAATCTAAAAACAAAATACTAAAGCACTCTATAAACAAGCTCGCTATTAGGTTAATTTTTGGCATAGGGCTAGCTCCATAGGAGGCTTTTAAAAATTTACTGATGAAGTGAAATGAATGAAACTATAGTGATGTAATGGCTATAGGAAAAAAAAAAACAAAAAACATTAGGGCTCTGGTTATTTATAAGCCATGTGAACATTTTTAAACCCTTCAGAGTCAAAGAATCCAACGAAGCAAAATGAGGAACACTCTGGTACTGAATTTTTACCTGTACCTTCTCAAAACAGCCAACTAAAATTAATAAATTTTATGTATGCAAACATATTTGAGTTACTTTGAATCAGCTTTTTTTTTTTTTTTTTTGCTTCTGTTTATAAAAAGAATTCAACTTCTGGACTCAGAATGTTATAAGTGTAGTGGCCAAGAAGGGGCCAGACAGGGAAACCAAGAGTTTAGTTAATGGACATGGCAGATTGTGTGACTGTTTCCACATATTAGCCTCCTTCCCGGTAAGAGAATTAAACATCCCCATCAGAATGAGAAGACATGTAGACAGAGCCACAGCAGTTGAATTGTAGCTGCTGACATGAAACATGACCAAGAAATACTCATTTATTGTTGGCCACTGAGATTTTAGGTTTGTTTCTGCATCAAGGCTGACTAATGGAGTGGGTAAGCAGACACGTGCAGTATTAGATTTAAACTAGAAAGTATAAATCAATATGGAGAGATGCCATAAATACAGCTTAGTTATATTTATACACAGCTTGGGGTGTAGTGAGAAAATAAGCAGCAGACTCTCAGTGTCAACAGCTCAGACTTTGGGACCCAATTGCCTAAGGTCAAGTGCAAGCTCTGGGCCCATGGGCATGTTTCCTAATGTCTCCACACTCAATATCCCCAAATATAAAATAAATATGATAATAAAAATATATATCTCATGTTGCATTAGAATAAAAGAACGTCAGGCAGCCTGGGTGGCTTGGTAGTTTAGTGCTGCCTTCAGCTCAGGGTGTGATCCTGGAGACCCAGGACTGAGTCCCATGTCGGGCTCCCTGCATGGAGCCTGTTTCTTCCCTCTGCCTGTGTCTCTGCCTCTCTCTCTGTGTGTGTCTCTCATGAATAAATAAATAAAATCTTAAAAAAAAGAATAAAAGAATGTGCATATAGTATTTAGAAGTGCCTGACAAAAGTTTGATAAATAAATGTCAATAAAGAGAGGAAAAGAGGTGGAAGGAGGAAAGTAAGGAAAGCAAAGGAAAAAGAGAGGTACAATATTAGAGAAATTCCCCATGGAGATGAGGTTTTACAGAAATGACCATTGCGACATTAAGTTATTTAAACTATTCTTTGTCATCGCATCAATTTATTCATCAATAACTATTAGCTACAAATCAAAGGTCCATGCTAGGAGGTGGGGACATCATAGTGAGTGAAACTCTTGTCATTATGGGATTTATAGCCGGGTGAGTGAGAGATAATAATCAAATAACTCCTTTGGTTTAAAACTGTAGTAAATTCCATGTAAAAAGTATTCACCATGGGATTTGCAGGGTATGTGGACTATTTTCTCAGAGTGTTACATTAATTCACTCAACAATTATTATTGAGCACCTGCTAATGTTCTAGGCATAACTTGGCTGTCTTTGAATCCTTGAAGATCATAAATAATGGGAAAGATAAATAATAGATGTTATAGTGCAGTATAACAGAGGCAGAGGATATGATGGATGACTTCATGCCTGGGCTGTGCAGTCTAAAAAGCCCACCTCAAACACAGACACCTTAATTTGCTAGCCAGGTAGTCTGAGACATACTCTGTAGCCACCACAAAGTCAACAGGGAAGAAATTATTTTGTGGTGTATATGTAGTGATACACCGCTAATGGCACCATTGGAATCATAAGAACCAATCATTCATCCAAACAAACAGGTTGTTCACTATCCCTGAATTAGTAGGTTCCCAATCCGATTTCACTTACATTCTGCCTGTTTCTTATTTCTCAGCAACTCATTTTCTATCATTGTATGTAAAGTTAATACCATTATCTTCCTCAAGATTGCTGTGAGGATTAAACGAGATAATGTATTTTCAAAAACTCAGTAATTTATATTTAACAATATAATTTGTATTTAAAATATTTATATTTATATTTACATTTAAAATAGTACCTTAAATTTGTAGAAAAATATACATTGAACTTCTACTGTTCTTTTTTTTTTTTAAGATTTATTTATTTGAGACAGAGCAAGAGCAAGCACACAGAGGGAGAGGAAGAATAGACTCCCTGCTGAGCATGGAGCCCAATGTGGGGCTTGATCCCAGGACCCTGCGACCATGATCTAAGCTGAAGGCAGATGCTTAACTGACTGAGCTACCCAGGTGCCCCTGAACTTTCACTGTTCTTGATTATTTCTGGAATGTTGTGAATTTTAAGCTGATCAACTCTCAGTGCCATTTACAATAAAACCTGGGTGAACACAGGATTTCATGTATATTAAAGCAGTTGTTGCATAAACTCACAGACAAAATATGATATTTTACTGAAAATCCTATATAAATATAGTATGTGTGTGTGTGTATATATATATTTTTCAAACTATATATATATAGTTTGAAATTTGAGGGAACGTTTATCACCAGCCCTTTTACCCTCTGTTCAGTTGAATTACTCAGTTTATTTCTTGTCTGGCACTTTCACAATTATTCATTCAAGATTATTCAACACCAAAATAAAACCAGAAGTTCATACTGTGGATCAATTGCGTGAGAATGAGGCAAAAAAGAGCTTTCTAGTGTTTACAAACATGACTCAGGATGACTAATGATGTGTGGATGTGTGGAGAAAGAGGAAAAGGGAACTGCGTGAGGTAAAAGACCAAGCTATTTTTAGATAGATATTTCATGCTGGAATCGGGAAGCAATTGAAACTTTCCCTTTCCTGATATGATCCTTCTGTGGAAAAGGTTAAAAACTGATGACTATAAAGACGGTGATTACAGGATGGAAAAATGATCTCCTCTCTGATGTCTCGTTTCCCTGTTTGTAAAGACTGAGAAACAATGACCCAGACTATGAGTAGAGCAGAGTTTGAAAAGAGTATTTTAGACGAATGCCATGAGCCAGAATATTGCTGCTTCATAAATTAGGCAACATGCCAGAACTGTTTTCTATAGTAAGTATCCATTTTGTTTGTTGGACACCTCATATGCTTCAGATTTCCATAGACTAATTCATGGTAATTTACATAGTACTAAAATGATTTTTCAGGGGACCTGGGTGGCTCAGTGGTTGAGCATCTGCCTTCAGCTCAGGTCATGATCAGGGGCTCCAGAGTCCTGGGATCGAGTACTGCATTGGGCACCCAGCAGGGAGCCTACTTCTCCCTCTGCCTATGTTTCTGCGTCTCTCATGAATAAATAAAATCTTTATAAATAAAATAAAATGATTTTCTATAGAGATAAAAATTTGACAGTACCCTTCAAAGTGATACTTGTAAGATATTCTAATTTTGAGTATTAAGACATGAAGGATAAGAAATACAGTCTAACAGAAATATATTCAAACTAGAGCATGAGTGGCATATATATGCCATTTTACATATGCCATTTTATTTATTTTTATATGTGGATAAATATATATTTTTATGTATTCTTAAATGTATAAATACATATTTATATATAATAAATTAGCTTCTCTCAAGAGGAAATGAGCTTTTTCTCTGCACACACCTAAGACATGTGCTTTCTATGATGATTCTCAATATTTAAAATCTATTTTTGGATTGGGAAGAGATAGAAGTATAAATATGCATGTAAATATGTAAATAAGTTGAATCTTAAAAAGATGAATGAAGCAAGTAATAGAAGATATAATGGACAGAAGCTACAATTTAGAATTCAATATTTTGTGGGTATGGTCATCAACACTTCTAATAAAAAGCATGCTGGTATTAAGATCCAAGAGCTTTATAATAGCATGAAAATAATTTCGTATATTTAATCATGTGTAGTACTTTACAGTTCTCATTAGTTCTTCAAGATGTCACTATAACTTCACAAAAATATGTAGAGAACTTAATGTTGGGTATATCTACTCATCCCAAGGCATCTGATCCTTAATGACCAATACAGATGTGGCGGGTTCAGTGGTGGCCCTCCAAAAGATAAGTCCATTCTCTAACCCTCCATCCAGCCCCAGGACATGTGAATGTGACCTTATTTGAATGATGGGTTTTCGCAAAGGTAATTAAGCTAAGGGTCTGAAGATAAGATCATCATGGGTTCTGAGTGGGCCATAGAGCCAATGACAAATGTCCTTTTAAGAAGACACAACATACAGGAGGGGCCATTGGAGGTGGAGGCTGTCACTGAAGTTATGCGGCCACAAGCCAAGGAAAGTCTAGTGCTTCCAGAAGCTGGAAAAGGCAAGGACAGATTCTCCACTGGAGCCTTTGGAGGGATTGTGGCCCAGAGGAAACTTTGATTTTAATTTCTGTCCTCTGGAACTGTGAGAGAATACATTTCTGTGTTTTTAAGCATGCCATTTGTGGTCATTTATGATGGTAGCCCTTAGAAACTAATAGTTAAGGTAAATCCATAAATGGTACATTTAACAACAGGCAGTTCTTTTTATCAGCCACAGTGGATCAATGCCCGGAAAGCTAACACTTAGACCATGATGTTGCCATGATGTTGCAACCCAAAATACAAGTCTTAAGTAAATCATATGCAGAGGCTCTAAAACAAGGATCATTCCTTAATGTTAACAAATAAATCAGGTTAGTATGGAAAAATACAATTCTTTTTCTGTTTTTGTTTTATTTGTGTGTGTGTGTGTGG